GTTACCGGCCAGCAGCGCGGAAACGGCGACGATCGCCACAGAGAAGGGAAGTCCGTCCCCGGAGAAGGATGGGACTACGAGGACGGCCGAGGGGTGAGTAGACCACCCTATGCCTTCGGCGGAGGAGAGACGACCTTCGGGTCAGGAGCTACCACGTGCGGCGCGGATGAGTGTGCCGCCTACGCATAGGCGACTCCCTGTGGATAGGCGACTCCTTGCGGACGTAGACTTGTGCCTACGCATAGGCAGAGAAAGTTCGCATACGCATAGGCAGGACTCACCCCCGGTGCAACGCAGGAAGGGGAAGGAGCCGGCGGAAGATCCGCCCTCGGTTCAAGGGCCTTCGGGGCACGGCCCTCCGGCGGTGAGATCGCCGGGATATGCGCCTTCGGCGCCAGGGCCAGCGAGTTACAAACAGAGAGCCGGCGGGAAATCCGCCGGAAGGTGCGCCTTCAGTGGAAGGGCCTTCGGGCCAAGGGACATCGGGCGGGCCGTCTTCGGCTCAACCGCCTTCGGCGGTAGACGCCTTCGGCGGAAGAAGCGCCGGGAATTGCGCCTACGCGTAGGCCGGACGCATCCCTGGCGCAGGACCTAAGGGTGGAGGAGGACCGATCGGTGGAGCGGATTGACTGTCAGCAGGGTGAAATTCGTGCGCGCGATGCACAATTACACTCCGCGCAGGTACATTCCGCACGATCGCCTTCGGCGGTAGACGCCGGCGGCGAGGAGGTTACAGTAGCGGCGGCATTCACGGCACGGCCGCATTCACCCACCGCCTTACACATTTTAGCAGGGAGCAGCGAGGCTGCATGAGTGCCAGCGGCGGCAAAGCACGCAGACATCTCGCAGCCCCGCACAGGCCAGTCGCCGACGCATTCAATGGCGACCGAAATCCTCAATTCGGAGGATGACGAAGAAGGAGGATCCACGGAATCACTGTCGGGATCGGGATCCACCGAGGAGGAGGAGGAGGAAATGGTAGGCGCGCCGACGGCGGCGCTCTGTGAGCAGGTAGTACCTCTGCTGAGGTACCTGGATCGTAAGATGGAGAAGTACGCGTACCCTCGCCAGCCTGGGTCCTACGTCGAGTTAGTGCGTAGGCGAACTCGCACTAAAGTCCACATCAGCAAGTTGCTGGCCCGTGTGGATCAAGAACTTAAGGATCTGCGGGAGAAGCATGAGTGCTTGTGGGGTCAATACAACCTCAATAAGAAGTTGTATAAACACTTCGACAAGGTGAAGGACGAGAAGCTGGAAGAGTTCGCCAAGGAGAAGGCGAAGCTCACAGAGGAGCTGGATTTTGAGCAGGCTCATAATCGAATGTTGTCAGGGGAGCTCGTGCGACAGACACGGTTGTTAGAGTAGGGTCAGCTCGCACGGCAGGCGGATGAGGAATTAATCCGCAGACTGCAGTCCGAGTGCGGGGAATTGAGAGCACAGCGTGCGGAGGCCGAATTGCAGTTGGTTGAAGTTGAAGACGGTCGCCGGCGGGCGGCAGATCGCACGAAGGAAGAGATGGTGAGGCGAGTCACCCATTGTCTCAGGGGCTACGCCCACTGGGAAGTGGCGGCGCATGAGAAACTCACATTGCGTGAGTTAGAGCTTCGTGCAGCCGGGTTGTTGACAGGTGACAGTCGGAGTCGGCGGCGAGTGGCGAAGAAGTTAGACTCTTTTCTGTCGAAGTCACGGGACACCATGGCCACCCTTGAGACGGAGGTTTCCGCGGTGTTGCGGCGTTTGGGACTGCGCAGTCGAGCTGAGGATTGGCAGGGTAGGGAGTTAGTGCGCGGCAGTCCGTCGCGCAGGAGGCAAAGCACAGGTTCTGCGGAGTGTAGTGTAGCGTGGTTCCGTGCAGGCGCGTAGCATAGTGCAGTGTAGTGCTAGTTAGGACTTAGAAGGTATAAAGTAGTTCAAGGCGTCTTGCCTTGGGATTTTTCTAGTTTCGGAAGTGCAGATCAGGAACTCATTTTCTCTGCATGTTTGTGTACTTAGTTCTGTCACCACGCACGAGGAGCTACACCTTAGCGATCCGCATTGCGTAGCTGAAGGCCTTTGGCCGAATGTTCAGAGCTAGTACATTGGTTAGAGACTTGAGTAGTTCGGATCTACACCTGCGGGTGATTGCCGATGCTCAGAGCCAGTGACTAGTTAGATACTTGAATAGTTTCGCCCCTACACCTTCGAGTGTTTGTTCCTGATTGTACTCCTTCGGGATTTTTCCCCTGAATGCCAAAGTGAAGTTTTGCTTCTTCGTGTAAGACTTGGTTGTAAATTCAGGTTACGCTGCAGCAGGTGCCTTCAGGGTAACCCCTGTAGTATTTCTGGGAATGACAAGTGCCTAAGAATTCAAACTCTTCAATAGACTGTTATGGTGTGTTACTGAAACGTTTCTCAGTGAGTCCTTCCGTGCGGACCTGTGTTCTCTGCCCGTTTTGTGAGTTGAAAGTGTTGTTCACCGCGTATGAGTGACTTCGATCCGAAGTAGGAAGTCCAATCCGGGTTCCCTACGCTAGCAGAAAGCTAGCGGAAGGGTTGTAAAAGCCGGAGTTGGGAGTCATTAACCGCAGCTTCGCCGAGTGCTCGCGAGAGACTTTCCCCCTGAAATCTTGAGTAGAGGTCCTAACCGATCTCTGGGTTGTGTTTCTTTAGTTTCAGGTGTGTGTGTGTGTGTGTGTGTGTTACGCTGCACTGCGCGACCTCCGAGTGAGCTCCAAGTGAACACATGCAGTATTTCTGGGAGTGACAGTCGCCTGAGAATTCAAACTCCTCAATAGTCTGTTAAATGTGACACTTTGTACCCTGTGTGTTCCTCTCTCCCTGTGGGTTCGACCTTTCTACCACTATAATGCAGTTTTAGCCTTTAGTGGATTATTACACCAATTGGTGACAAAACAGTAAGAATTATCGAATCAAGGCCTACAAGGTAATAAGCTCTAATAATATCGGAGTTTACTATGTATATTTCTAATCTATAACACCTAAAATATCATAACCATGAAATCTAAGAAATCAAACTTTCTGCAAACAAAAAATTCTTGCAAAGGAGATTATATGAACTCACATCGTTGCTCTCTTATACAAAACGTGAGTTTGTTATTTTCGTACAAAAATAAAATCATGCCGACTAACACAATCTAAAGAATTACTAAAGAATCAATTCCATGTATAAGTATATTCTCTCACTCACTTTTTGTATAACGTGTTAAGATTTTATTCTATAGTTTGATATCATTTCAATTGTAAAATAATAAATGAATTTACGCTATATCAATACTTATCTTCATGCAGTTCTTATCACTTTACTCAAGATGTATCATCGGCACCTTTGAAATTTTGACTTAAGATTAGTATAACTTCATGTCTCTAGATGTTATTAGGTAATCAAAATCTAGCCTAAATCTTGACAAACCTTAGTAGATTAAAATCACATGTTGATTATAACTCCATGTGTACATACTTATGATACAACTCAAGCATCATAATTCCAATGACATAATATTTAGCAATTCTTTCACTCAAAACTTGCATCAATTTCATGTGAAAAACTACTACAAGATATTACTTTCTTATCTATTTGATATTACTTTACTGAAGTAATATCACACATGAATAATGATTATTTAGATAACTATATCAAGCCAATAGGATCGACTTGTGATAAGAAATTATTCCAATTTAAGCAAGTGTGATACATTGTCAAGAAAAGACTAACAAGCCTTCTATCTTGCTCTCCGAGCAAGAGTTTATACCTGAATAGCAACCCTTTGGAATACCAAAAAAACTACGGAATCTTATAAATATTGATTGAAAAACTTTAGTTCAATTGATCGATGAAGAAAGTAATAAGTTAAATCAAGATTTACAAACCTACATTCTTTCTCTCACAGGTATTTAGGCTAAGATCTATTATTCATCGATATATTATATACAACTCTAATTCATATGATGGAGGGAAAAACTTTCAAGCTTAACAAGTCTACTCTTTTGCTCTCACAAGAGTGTAAGCTTCAAATTATTTTCATCAAACAACAGTAAAAACTCATTCAAATAGAAAAGAAATGAAAAGAAAAGAATTCACATTGTTTATGACTCAAAAATAGAAGATAAATTCTGAAAATCAGGTATTTATATATCATCTAATATGGTAAACAGGTATCATAATAATGTTTAATATTTTAGTGAGTGAAACAATTTAAGTGTTATGGCCAAAGAATCTACATCACAATTTCTAATGACATGGCAAATATACAAATCAAAGCCATTGGTAGATAGACTTTTGATTGTGAAAATTCATCTTAATCTTGTAGAGGTAAAAATTTGTTTAAACCAACGTAGGTAGATAGATAGATAGATAGATAGATAGATATATATATATATATATATATGGTCATGGTGTATATACATATCTATATATGACACATTATTTTATAGACTCAAATTTATTTTTCTTGTGATATTTTATTGTGTTCTTATAATAATATTTGTCATTTCATCGATACACAACCAATTATATACATAATGATGATAAATTGTGGTTCGTTTCTAATAAACTTTATTAGAAAAAAAATAACCCATCAACAGATTATAGCTTCAAAAATTTAGTACTAGTCAGGTGTTGTTTTCTCTCGTGTTATGTAGTCTTGCAAAAGAGAAATGAATGGGAATAAAAACTTGAATTTGAAAAGAAAGTGGCGTGTTTTAGACATTTAGAAAAAATAAAATAGAATTACTGAAATTAGAATAATCGCAATAATATATATATATATATATATATATTATACAGTATCTAAATAAATTTTAATATACAATTGGAAGACAATACAATGCCATTGTGTTGAATAATATTTATGTACAATAATATTTACTAGTAAAATTTGGAATTGAAACTTCAACTTAATGTTCCGATGGTACTTATATATTTTAAAAAATTGAGTCAAATAGTAATCAATACTCAATAAAAATCTATATAATGACACTAGTATGGCTCAATGGCTGGGTTTGGGCATTCCCAAGCACGAAGCCTGATGGTTCTCTTATGGAGGGCCTTTATTAGCTGGAAACACAGATGTCTTGCATTCGGATGTTATGATACTCGCGCGTTGGGAGGCGATGCTGGGTTGAGAATAAGGCCGCTCGATGATGATTCTTGAGCTCGACAGGAAAACCTAGTGTGCACGCTTCACGAAGAGCGTGCCACATATTCTGTCTCGGGCAGTTGAATTTCCTCAATTTAATGTTCGTTGACTGTCGAATTGTGGGTGTCCACAGTAGTTCGAAATCCATTCGGAAGAACGGTCCTGCTGCAAAAGAGCGCTGAATTTTCAAGTCCATTTCTCGGACTATTCGTCTCGTATACCGAATGTCGTGCCCAGTCAATCTGGGGAAGTGCGTTTCGATCTCAAACTTAAACTCCATAGCTTCGAGGACATCCGGATCAAGGCTGTTCTTGTTGCCATGGTTTTAGACAGATGTATGATAGTTCAGCCTTAAACCCAGAACCTCGAACCGTTTGGTACGCCTTTGCGCGATCAGTCTGTTTTCCGTGAGTTGTCTAGCCTCCTTACTATCATTTTTTCCTGACATTACTATCTCCATGTTGCGGCTTGAGACTCTCTTCGACAGCGTCTACGTGGCTGTCATCCACTTATACTAACCTCGGCTTGGTTATATCCATGTCCTAGTCATTGCAATTCACGATCGGAAGTCCTCCAGCATCAATCTACTGTGGAAGATCCACCTCATCGGATCTTGTTTCAAGGTCTCCATGAGTGAGCGATCAGGTAAATGAAGTTTATCACCTACAAGTTGAAGCTTTGTCAGTTGCTCTTGCTTCCTTTGTACTCTTGACTCAAATATTTCTATGAGAGGCCCTTGTCATGCACGCGTTGAGAATGACTCGTCAACCTTCTTGTATTTGAAATTTCGATGAAAATGATTTTGGAGCAGGCTAGAAAAGTCAATAGACAAGATCCTGAGCACAGATACTCATAGATTAGAAAGTAAGCACAGGACTTCGAGTTTTTTAATTCTAACGGCATGCTGAGAAAACAACCACTGACTACTCTCAAACCTGCGAATCTCGGTCGCGGATGAAGCATTCGAGGTATGCCCAAAACTAAACCTTCACCATTTTGTTTTCCATTATTCACCTGAAGATTACCGTTCTCTGGAAACGGATCAGACAGATTCGCTTACAAGGCCTTGTGAGTGCTGAGTGTTTTAGCCACCAATTGTGAAATCACTGCATCCTTGGTCAGCAAAAGCCGTTATCTTCCCGACGATTATTCAATATTTGCTCACCTCAAATGATGTCGTTCACCCTGCTATGTGTTTGCGTTCTCCCTGTATCTGTAAATACAATGCAGCTTACTTTCTCATTCCACCACGTTATTCCTGTATGTTGAACCAGATTCGTTCTTCTGTTGAGACTGAGCTCCGAGCTCCTCTGGGTGATGCACTGCTTCAATTTCAAGAGACTAGATTGGAAGTCCTCTATTTACTTTCATCCTCACAACCATGTACATTTTGTCCCATGTCCGAATCTGTCTTCTCTCTCTACACTTCTATTGGCTAATCCAGCAATGCTACCGACGTATATGGTTCACTCTCGAGACAGCAGCACAACCTACAAACATATGAGTACACAGAAGTTCTGAATATAACAAATTTTGGATTGCACTGGTTATCATTTCCATCAAGTAGACATGTCCAAAACAATATATAAAAAGTTAAGATTCTAATCTGATGATATTGATAATTCAGTTACGTATTATTGTATCACATTTCATATTCTCTTTCAAGGACATTTAGAAATCTATGTTCAAAAACGTATATATGATTCTATGACTAGAAGAATAAAAAAATTGAACTCATCAGACTATAACATGTGAAAAGTTTGGTTGAAATCACTCATATAGGAGTATTGATCATCAATGGACTTGACTCCTAGGACTATAATAAACATGAAATGTATCTATATCTTTCACAGGGTTATAATTGGATCTGTAAAAAATATTTTACTATGAATGTTTATATCTCTTTGTCATGCCTATCTAAAAGTCATCACTTGCAATCACAGGTATTTACTTAGATGAAAAGCTTATGTCAACATTATTTATATAGATTTCTTTCTTTCATGTTTACTCTACTTGTCTTCCACGGGCAAGGAGAAAGTGAAGACCATCACATATGTCCACGGAAATTAAAAAATTTCTGTTTGTCGCCAGGTCGCTGGTTCACCCATCGCTTTCCTTGAAGCTAAAGGTGAAGACATCACGTTCGCAATAAATCATCCATTGGATGAACATTAACGTCGGGATGTGGCAAACTAAACATAGTAGGCAGCTGTTAAACAAAGGACGACGACAGGGAGGGAGGGGGAGAGAGAGAGAGAGAATTTAGTATAGAAATGTGGTTCTTTCCTTTCTCGTTGGCTTGGCAAGAGCACATACTTGCACCCACGTGTCGAGGGAATGGCAGGAGAGTCGCACGAGAAATGTATGATCTTCTCCTGCGTATCTCGTTGATCCTCTGTTGACGTTCAACAAATCCATGTCTGTCAGCGGTCGTCAACAACAAAATCTCCTACGTCAACGATAGAGTGCAGCTTTTTATTCGTCAACCCACTGTATGAAGGCACTCTTCAAACAGAATCTGTAGTCTGTGTGAACGTGTAGTTCTTGGAACTGGCTGCCCCTAATACTTCCCTGCCGAGGTCAGCTTTGACCCACATCTCCGTGTGACCACATTCTTGGATCATGAGAGACGGTTTACGTGGAAGTAAAGACTTCAGTCTCGAGCAATGGTAATGCTTTTGAGTAATATTAAACGAATTAGTATTTGAATCTAAATAAAAGAACTATTTATCACCTCAAGCAGACAGAGGAATTTTACTCCTCAAAAAATTTGTAAGTTAATTATTTTTTAAACAATCTGACAATTTTAAGCCATTTAACCTTTTTATAAATTCAATAATTTGTGAAATGTTAATTCGTATTTTGAAAATTATTTACATGTTGAAACTGTGTACAAATAAGAACTTCAAATAAAATTTTAAGCTTATATTTAATCTCCTTTTCATGTATAATCGTATATTAAGGGATAAAAATTGAATAATAGATTTACATAAGAATTAATGTCCAATACTCGAATAACGGTTTGATTACCAGTAACAAGTAAAAATTTACATTCAGTACCCAATTGGGTCTTACATAAAAATTGAATTAATAGTTCATATTTCAAGTTTAAGTAACAATCATGTCAAAAAAATTATTAAATTTTCATCAATACTCAATAAGTGTCATCGTTTAGCCATCAAATATACATCCAAATTATATGTTGTACCGTAATTTAACTTCTCATTATTGATTGCACTTTAAGTATTGTTTGTCTCGTAATTTTGTAAATTCAGTTACAGACTTTGCATAACAATTTTATGATAATTGGATAAATGTAATGCTTTATTTAGAGAGATTTGCTTGATGGTACCCCATGAAGAACATATTTGCTTGATGGGACCCATCAAGTTTCGTTTTATGCGATGTGACCCCAACGACTGCACACGTCAGACTGTTCTAGTATGAACAGACGATGAGAGTCCACAATCGCGACGACATCAGCGGGAGCTCTAACGAGCCGCAGCGAGTTGCAATTTGCGATGCAGAAATTCATGGAAGAAGTTCGGAAACTCCAGACAAAGAGAGGTGGTGGTCAAACAGGACTGTGTGTGACAGATGAGAGGAGAGGGGAAGTAAAAGGGAGGGAGGTTGGGGAATAGTATTCGTCTAAGGAGAAGGTCCAAATCGACCATGCGCCGCGGATGGAGTGTCGAGGAGTGACGAATCGTCAGTGACCCTCAGCGGGCGTCGCCAATGGTAATTCAGAATCTCATGTTCATGGTACTGGAGAAGAGAGAGCAGAAATTTACGTTAGAGCGTGCATTTTTAGTTTGTCTCGCATCAATCAGTGTGCGGTGGAAGTGGCTCTCGCTCGAAGTGACGCGCGAGAGAAGCGTTGGTCGGTAGATATCAGAGAGAGCCGCAGCTTGGATAGTGAAAAACAAGAACATATTTTATAAGTACACGTATTAAAATATATTGTTACAATAACATATTTAAAAAAAACAAATACAAAAACATGTACAATAACATATTCATATTAGAACATTTACTAGAGCTCATCGACGGCACACCCCGTCCGTGGGTTCCCATTGGGTAAAACGAAACTTGATGGAGTCCCATCGAGCAAATATCTCGAGTTTTGCTTGATGTGACCTCATCAAAACGTAAATTGCTTGATGGTACCCAAAGAGTTTCAATTTACCCGATTGGATCCCACGGTACGGTACACGTCATCATCAAATCGTCTTTAAGAACGCACCGTTGTTTCAAAGATGAAATTTTCCATAGCAATTCATGTGCGCAAAAATCTTGATTGTGGTAGTCTGGTGTGTAGATGTATTGGAGCAGAAATTTGATGGTTTGACGAAAGAACTGACAATTATTGGAGGTGGAAGGTGTAATGCCAATGGCATTGCACTGTTTCCAGATCCAATTTCTCCGATTCAGTGTGCTTGTGCAGACTGATTTTGGAACGCAAGTGCAAATCTTAATGTCCAAAAGTTTCAATATATTCGGGTGGGTCAGAAAATCTTGCAGGCGAGAGCATATCCAGTTTTGTTAAACTCCAGTGGCAGGCCGTCGAAACCATCGCAAAAGCACGAATTAGAACATATTCATACTAGAACATTTATTAAAACTCATGCCGTCAGTGGGATCCAAATCGGGTAAATTGAAACTTGATGGGTCCATCAAGCAAATATTCTAAGTTGTTTATTTATAATACGTCTGTTAGATTATAATATATAAAACTGATATAATATTGAAACCAACATATATATATATATATATATATATATCATAATCTTTGTATAAAATTTTAACTAAATTTTAATAACATGTTTATAAAAAATCTTATATTTATTTTGTAAAATAATCCGTTTGACATCCATAATTGTATGAAAAGAAAAATCTAAGATTTTTTCCTAAGTTTTAGCTTGTGAGATCATCTTTACAGACACAAATCATTTATCTCATATTCAAGCTTGTTAAGTTTTGAAAAAAATTAGATTTTAATGCATGAACAACGTATGTTATGAATTTTTATATTTTAAATACAAATATAACTTTTTCTCGTTACATGGATTTGAGTTTGCAAAAAAATTCATTTGTCTTGAAATAAGATGTAAAGATGTTATATTAATAATACCTCAATTTTAAATAAAAATCATTTTCAGGTTTATTTTTTTAAATACTACTTGTAAATTGATATCTATATTTTTTTTCAATCCAAGAAATATCTTGAAATTTCAATTTCAATATTCAGAATTAAATATTTTTATTTTCGAACTAATTTGGCATAAAAAATAATATCAGATTGTACATTTTCTTGTTCAAAGTTGTCTTTAAAATTTTTAATTTTTTTATTTAAAATAATTTCTCAAATAAATTTTTATCCACTGAAAATTATAGATAATTTGAATTTCAAATATAAATCTCTGATGTAAATATTAATTTATTCATATTTTTTCCATAGATATATTTTTTAAGAATAATTGCAATATATATGGATGAAAAAAATGAGGTTCTTAACATAGTAGTATTGAATTGGTTTTTCTTCACATAAATTAAATTCATTGATGTGTCAGCTTATTTTTTTAATGACACCGTCATGTAGAATTGAGTCAACACAATTTAATTATAGAACATACCGTATCTGTTCAAGAAATCAATGAACAGAATTTATTTAAAGCTTGGTAATTATTATTAAACGAAGCAGAGTAAAAATGTTGAAATTTTTATACATCATAGTGCCAAAAGACCAAAATTAAATTTTTTATTAAATAAAGTGTTTAAATAAATTAGTTTTATCCGAAAAAAGTGTAAATGAAATCAACACCATAATGCTGATAAGATCTAAGTTTTACAATGAATAGGCGTTTATTTTATTTCCAACATTCAAATTAGTATAATTAAATATTTGCCTTTATAGAAGTTTATATCAGTTCAGTTACTAATGAATTTATGTAGAATTTATGTAGAATTTATTTAACTCTATATGTCTTGAATAGTTCGAATCATTTACAGAATCCCTTTAGTGTGTGTAAAAATAATTTCAAAGACTACATTCTGTAAAATCAAAACAATGCTGAAAAAAATCATTTCAAGGTTAATTATTTAAATTCGCGTCAAGTTTAAGTAAGGACGTTTCTTTTCTTTCTAACCTCTTGAGAAATAGAACAAATTATTTTATCTCATGAAAGAGAAAGAAGGTCTGCAAAACCTACGAGCTTGTTCTAACATTCTTAATCGCTAGATTTTTTCAACATCTATTATCACGTCTCTATTTATTTTGAGTACATCAGAAGTTACCTTCATGAAGAAGAATATAAACAGCCTACCTCATGAATTAGGTGTCGTTTTTCGCAGCAATTTAATGCAGATGTCGAACGTAAGTGATACAAAATCGAGACGAAAAGGCTTGGCGTGTAGAGCAACTTTGGGAATCTAGCTCTTAATTCCTCAGTAATGGGAAATAGACCCATTCCTCCTTCCATTAAATTAAGTAAATCGTTACTCCCACGCAGTTTTCAAACCGTACTTGTTCATCAACTTTCCTCTACTATCAAACTTTCAATTGTTCTACTTATGGGAGGTGCAATTTATTTTTTGTAGTCATAATATAGCATTGAAGTTGATGTGTTAGCAGGAGAGAATAGCATTGGACCAATCTTAAGATTACTACAGGTTTTAGTGTGGTGGAGATTTAATTACGAGTAGAGGCCTGTGTACACTGGTTTCTTCTTCCACCTTCTCTTCTCCCCATGCATGGAATGGGTTTTGAGAAGAAGAGTGAGCTACTAACTAATCGTATCGTATCTGGAGATTCACATTGTCCAAAAATATGGGAATCAGTTTTGATATGAATTGAAAAGTCTTCAGAGATCTACGTGAGACTTAACTGCAAGTACTATCTGTTTATAGCTTTCCACAACACCTGCTCGAGGAAAACTTCGTTTCCATTTCCGTATCCGTACCCGTAGGCTCCAACCTTGTCCAGGAATTCAGAAGGACCTATCGGTCAAAAGCCAGCAGTAGGAAGCAAATTGCCAACCAGTGCGTGACTTTGGCCTTCCCTTTCACCTCACGGATATGGTCGTAATTGTGAGTTGGAGACATCCTCTGCATCGATCAAGTATATCCAGGGATATGGATAGAAGCTGGAACTCGGGATTTGTCCTTTTCGATCACATTCGATGTAAGATGTGTTGACGGTGGCACCGCCTCTGTCACGATAGTCAGAAATCGGAATGCTTGGTTCCATTGGAATTTGCGACTTGGACGCACTTCGTAGCTGTCTAGAGGAAGAGGAGGAGGTGGGGGTAGGCATATCCTTACAAGAGTCACGTCCGGATTACAGAGTATCGTCCCATAGATCCTCATATGATTTGTATGGGCTGGTAGTGTCGTTACAAAAATTCAGGGCTTTATACATCCGACTTTCCGGTAAAGTGTTGATTCTTTCATGATCTTCCTCGGTAAGACACCAGTCTTGACACCCAAAATTCTCAATTATCCTTGATTCCTTGTAACTCTTGGGTATGACGCAAACACCATTTTCTAAACCCCATCTGAGAGCGACCTGCATAGTCCAGGCTGAAGCTTCAGATGCTAGGTTACTACGGTTACTCCCACAAAGTGTCAACAAGCTGTTAATGGTCTATACATCTGTCTTGAAAAGTCTATGAAAAAACATGTCAGAAATCTTACAAACAAAATCTCTTATCTTATGGACGATGTCGGTAAGAGAATTTGATGGTGCATATTCTCTTACCGTCAAAATTCTCTTCCTGACATCGTTCACACCACAACGTGTCTGGTGATGGGTTCAGCTTGATAACGTGAAAGGAAAGGTGGAAAGCGATAACGATGTCATACCTGAGCGGGAGTCTTGCCATGTTTCTTAGCAATGTCCTGGATAATTGGACTCTCTATGACGGATCTGACCCCATAAAAAATACCCGGTGCTGCCAGAGGTGCCCATGCGATTACTTGAATTCCATTTTGCCTGCAATAATCTCTGAGTTTTGACTGGCGCAGTGTCGGATGCATCTCCACCTGTATTAGAGACAGTTTTAATCATGGCAATACAGACGAACAAACAGCATAAGCATGGTAATGTAAAGTAATCATGTGTCAGCATATGTGAAAGGGCTGAACTTTGTAACCTGGTTACCTGATTTACAGCAGGAACGTATCTAACGTGGGGTAGAAGGTTTTCAAGCTTCTTCACGCTGAAATTACTGACGCCGATTGCTTTAGCCAACCCGAGGTCGCAACATTTCTCCATTGCCTCCCACGTGCCAACGAGGTCCAACGGCAAAAAGTCTTCTGGTTGTATCTCGCGTACATTTTTCTGATTACTGCCATTTTTCCTTACTCGCAGAGGCCAATGTATCAGGTACAGATCCACATAATCCATCTGCAATGCCCTGAAAAGCAGGCATGTGCTGGTTTGTTCAGATGGTATGTCATTTGTACAATCTTAAACTATAGAATAAGGAATAGCATTGTTGTAAGTGAAACTTTCCAGTAGCACTAATTGCCTTTGCACATCAACTCATACACAAGAACATAATGAACATTTCGGTGAACTTTAAAACTTGGCAATACCTAGCAATCCTGTAAATGCAGATTTTGCAGATTTGGTAAAGCTTCCAAACCCAGCTTCAACACTTATTTCAGAACCAAATCATGTTTTCATATTTCAGTTGTATTCAGTAACTAGAAGCAAACGACAGTTTTAATAGAATCCCCTCATGAAAGCGACGGAAATTTTCTCTAAATATTTTGGAACTTCAGATTTCAGGAGTGTACGCTGTTCAAAATCCGCTGATCTATATCTCAATGTTAACGCCACTTTCTGCGTAAGTGAGTACACCCATTAAAATGCATTATGATTTCCATAAAAATTAGGCTAAACTTGCCGTGTCTATTCGTGACTAATTACCTTTCCAAATACTTGAGTGCATCGTGAAATTGAGTCCTCATGCGTCATGTGTTACTTCACTGAACTTCAAAGGATCTAAAATCTACAGCAAGTATATTGCTCTTAGATTTGTAAGGATTCCATAAAATGGCATGTTTTCCTCACGACTCGTACCGAAAGTTGAAAATAAGATTTGGTGCGTGAAAAGACTTCATATTAGACATCCAACTATGACTTATATATGTCCGATTAAGGTTGTTATGAAACTCATGTACATCTGTAAGATGTTTAGGACTCATTCCATCAACTAAATTATTAAAAAGTGTGTCAGTATGATTTGTTTCTGCGATTTCGGCAGCCACGACGCAGGAAACTAAAATTTCACCGATGGACTGATCTTATCGATAGGGTAAAGAGGGATTTTCCAAAGCGTATCAACTTCATAATAAATTCCACATACCTGAGACTCTTTTGAAGAGCTGGAAGAACTCCATCCTTGTGACAATCGCCCATCCCCAATTTCGTTGTTACGAAAACTTCATCGCGCTTTAATGTGCCGCTTTCAAAAGTCTCGCACATGACCTCTCCCAGCAAGGCTTCAGTTCCATAGTAAGCTGCTGTATCAAAGTGCCTGTACCCAACCTACAATTATATGAACCAGTGTATAGTAAGAAAGCGTTACTGAACTTCAAGGTGTCAGGGCATAGTCAAACTTTACGACAAGTACAATCAAGTCGATGCATTTCAGCGTATTGACCAAATCCTACACACGCATTTAACTGAGTGCTACTTGCAGTCCAAGTTTTCAACTTTCGTGACAGTAAACATCATCAGTCATTGGACTTTAGAAAGGCATTTCTGTCAGCAGAAGAGAAAAAGACAAGAGTACATTCTTAAAAGGTTGTCGTTCACAAATTTATGACAGAGACAAGACATTGATGCACAATACCTACATCTGCTCTGCATAAAAAGCCCAATCCAATGAATATCAACAAAACAGTGATAAACGTTAAAAGATAGAACTGGTACTAAAATTGGAGAATACTCAACTGATCTTTCTATGGTATCTAAAGGTAAGTTAAAAAACCATTTTCAGGATGAGCTTCTCGTCTTAATGGTCTTCTTATTCAATTTGACATATCTCAAATTTCTTAATTCTGTTTTTCATTGTAATGTTTTGTTTCTGTTCAAGTACGTGATCCACGATCCATGAATCAATCAACGAGTTATATCACATAGGTAGAAGACTACCCTGTTAGTGCTTGAAGGTATTTCAGTATCGATTGTCATCACGGCTGCATTTCAGCTTGATTAGATCTACAAATAGTTTCATAATCATGGCACACATCGGTGGAAACCAAAAGAATCAAACTGCAAGGAAATCTGAAATCTTCTGAATGCATTTATATTATCAAGCGAGCTGGTTCGAACCTGAATTGCCTTGCGAATACCATCTTTCACCACCTCAGGGGGTTCTGCTAGTGCAACAGTTCCGAATCCCACAGCTGGAACGTACGAACCAGTGTTTAATTTGTACAGCATAGACTCTCCGGTCTCTTCTTTTCCCATGGCCTCCAATTTGCTTTCAGTTGACAGCAATATCAAACCTTCAACCTTTTCAAACTACCACATTACATTCCGGCTCTTAGACAGGGGCGTCATGCTTACGAAAGATACAAATGAACACTGTCACTCTTCGATTCCAAGTGTGAGATGTGTTCCTGGCTTCAGGTCAGACAAGGTGGAGCATACAACACACATCTCTGTTTCACAAAGATAAATACCAGAATGAGCATACTGAGAACTATACACTCACCTCAACTCGTCCAAGACAATGGCGAGATGCACCACTCGTGCCAGTGGACTCACAGGATGTGAATTTGATACTGTGACATCTTGTACCTCAAACTGAAGTTGGTCTCTTGCCGGTCCATGCTCCGAAGTCAACACTTGTCACGCCGGCAGGAGCCTTGATGGTTTCAAGCATCTTCCGCACAGCACAGCTCTCACTCCCTGAGTCTGAGCAGATTTATATCCTTGAGTTTCCAGAGTTGAGGAAATTCTGGCAAATGAACGCCCATTGTTTGATACGTATTTCATGCTCCTCATCTCAGACTCTCGCTTGCTGCTACACCTACCACTAGCAAGGACAAGTTTGCAGTTTCTGAGACACAACCCGGCCAGCCTGGCTTTGTTCAAGAGTTACGCCTAACCCTGCTGCATGCTCTGAAATTGTGCCACTTTCAATCCACACAGAGCCTCCAGAAAGACCCACCAGCTCACAACTGACGTTTCTCCCCCCATTCTATCCCATCACTCTCATGTTCTCCCCTCCCGCCCTCTTGGGGACAGGACCCCTTCATTCCCTTTGTCCTTTCGGTTTCTTTATGTTCACAGAGGCCGAGAAAGTGCGTCGCCGGCGTTCTTTAGCGGCCGGTCGCCTCCGCTGAAGGCGCTCCCGCCATTGGTCATGTCTGCCCCCCCTAGCGCCAGCTCTCCCACCGGCGCGGAGCCGAGGCGGGCATCATCATCTCCTTTCGGCCCCCCTGCCCGCCCCCACCCCCCGCCGGCCGGCCAGCCAGCCAGCGCCGAGAGCCCTCTCCCGCGAACAGAAAGCGCTCCGAGAGTTCAAACTCGTCACAGTACAAGGACCGCGATGGGCGTCTCTTGGCGTCGTCGTCACGTCTGACGGTGGCTGGGCCCGCCGACCATCGTGACCATCGCACGATAAACATATCAGCAGAGCTAGCGTTCCCATGGCCGCTGTTAGTCAACCGGCAACTCCAAAGTGCCATGGAGCCCGACGACGGGCCAGAGTATGCTCCCATCTGGTTCGTCCTCGTCTCCACACCGTACACGTAGACATGGTAACGTAGCCGGCTAGGGACGGCTAACCGATACAAAGGGCTAGCCGGCTAGGGACTCACATTTAGCCGATTAGCCGGCCAATTAGCCGATTAGCCCACGACTACCGGCCGAAAACGCATTTCGGCTGAAATATTCGTTCGAAATAAGGATTCAGGGTATAATTTCGTACGAATAAGCCGAACTAATCGGCCGAAAACTTAGAGTCGGTCTGAGTTTTCGGACCGTTTTCGGCCTCGGATAGCGTTCCGGCTAGCCGGCTAGCCGTTAGCCGAGGCGTGAGCATCCCTACGTACACGGGCGGGTCTCCGACGTCCAAACCTTGTGACTGCGACGAAGCGTTGATTCCATTGGTGGACGGGGCCCACACGCGGCCTCGTGTTCCTTGTCCCTTCCGGACCTTTTATAAAAAAGCATAAAGCGCAAGAGGACAGGGCTCTAGACTCGCGCCTTGAACAATATAAGCCCGTGCCTTGTTGGACTCATCTGCGTCCAGTAAAAAGCTGCACTTATCTATATGGAGCGAGAAACCTCCGACTTTCTTCCAGTCGATGCTGCCTACGGTCGAGGATGGCCCCCCGGCTCTGAACTTTAGTGCAGCCGAAGTAGCTGCACCCTGAGGGCCGTGGATCCATGGCCGCATCCAGATTTGTCACTTTCGTGGAGAAGGCCAGGCGCGCAGGACGAGAACTGGCTAACTAACTTCAGGCCCTACGTGCGCTGGGATTGCCTCGCCTCGCCTCGCATTCCCTCTGTACTTCCTGTACCCTTCCTTCCTCGGTGGATCGCATCCACGGACGAGAGACGGAAAAGCGTGAGGATAGGAGGCGAAAGGTACATACGGGCCGTGCAGCGAAACCCGAAAGGGAAGCACGCCAAAACTCCATCGATCCCAACGACGAGGGTCTGTGTGGAATCTCGAAAGCAACTTCAAGGACGAGCAGTCCAAGGATCCACATCCTGAAACTACAGTTGTTACACTTGTGATCGAATGATTGCAGATTTGTCTCCATCTTTATTCTAATCTATCTTAATCCTTGACCATTACTTTGGAGTCTAGCCTTGCCTTGTACACTCTGTCAATCATCGTCATCTACATTGCCATTACCGAAACTCGGGAAGGGACACAACTTCACGTCAAACCTAGTGATTTTTACTGTACAAGTTACTGAACTTGCCTTGCCTAGTGGAGGTGCTCACGGCATGAATGTGTTGTGTACCTCGATAAAATTCTGCTCCACATGAAGCAAAGGCACATGAAGAATGACATTAGGCTCGTCTGGGTTCATTCTCTTCGTTGATTTAAAGTTAAGAACTTCTCGTTATTTTATAAATCTCCTTGAGGTTTAACACTGTGTGGCAGAAGGACTCCAGGTGAAGCAAATTTAATGAATTTCCTCCTCTGTAGATGGGTCCCAGCGGGACCATTGAAGTCACGTAAAAAACAGAAATATGAAACAAAGTTTGATACTCTATGCCAACTGTAAGCTCTCAATTATTACAAAGATGCGAGTCGTGGCCTCAATCTTCCAGCCAAAAGAAAACAAATAAACAGGTTCTTCCATGTGGTTTACAGAAAAATTTATATATCTTGTGAATGGGCTACCCAGAGATACATGTTATATGATCCGATGACTAAATTCAATCCTGAGTACACTCTGTTGCTTTGTTTGCACCCATGCCATAAGATTCCAGCGAGAAAGAATTAAACAATAAACTTGATATTTGTCTTACATAGTTTCAACTGGGAGCACATGTATGTGTTCAGACAAGCAAGATTTTTAGTGTGCTTATCTGTACTGGTATATTCATCCTTATAACATACTATTTTTTTTTCAAAGTCAACTCTGTTCCAATTTAAAAACGAATTCATAACCTTAAGAAATCCAGACTGACGTTCAAGCATTTAGTCCATGTCATTCATCAATCATCGACCACACCAAATCGCTGAGGGTCCACGCCAAACAAAATCTGATGACATCCAACACAAATACCTATGTCTCCTCTACCCGAACAAGCTAATGACATAAAAAAACCATTTGATCCATTCAGCATGGACCGTATCGGCATCTGACGTATATAGGAGATAATACAAACAAAACTGTTTTCACGGAAAGTAAAGTAATGTACTCAAAGAAACCAGATTTCAGCAATTTCATTACTGCAAAACCCAATAATGGGGAAAGGACACAGTCATTAGCTTGTCCATAATCAACCCGAGAAGATGAAAATGTATCACAACTCGCAATTCCCCATTCATCTTCCACCTATTTCCGAATGAGGACACAGGAAGATGAGGCTCCAGAGTTGACATAAATTGCGTCTTGCAACATTTACAGATTCTTTACTTGGCTCTGAAGAACATACCAGTAAACATATTATAAAATATTGAGAAGTTTGTCAATGAATACAGTAAACTGTCACTTCAATCAGTTATTAACACGTGGAACTAAACAATGCACAAAGTAGACACTGGAGATGAGTCCTATCATGGTCTTGTTCCATCTGTCTTTCCTCTTGCACTGGTACTCGATGCCGTGAAGGGTTGGTGGCCAAATAGATAGACAAAATAACTCCGTGACTAAACGATAAAAGGTTTGTTACTAGATGGGGTCTTCTCCTTTTTGGCTATATTATTTGGCTCTCCACAGTTACAATAACTAACATCTACATGGCCCCCTCGTCAGGTTACAATAAAGTCTATACGAAAAGGAGGCATTCCGTAAGAGAGATCCGCTAAACGCCCGGACATTCCAATCCCGTCCAAGACTATCAGCTGACGTCAACTCCGTTCAAAAATTGTCAGGAATAAGATCTCTTACTTTCCTTGTGGCAAAAGGAGAAGAACTTTACTATGGACATGTTGCGTCGGATGAATGAACGAGGAATGAAAGGATGGATAGGATCGATGGAAAGGGGATTCGGGTGCATTTACTGTATATCCAGACGGATGGGAGTACTCAGTAGAAAGTGCTTGCATCACAACAGAGAAAGCAGGTAAACATTTCCCCATAGAAAAGACCGACGTCGTCACTTGATTAAAAAAGTGAACCAATTAGCAAATGACCCCACAGGGTCGTACATGGAGAAACCGAAGGGTTAGATGGGGCGTAGCCACTAGTATAGAAATCAAGATCTACTGCATTTTTGCACAGATGAAGGGAGGTCTGAAGATACACCAACAAGGAAAATATTGCTCTAAGATATGCTTGAGGTAGATAGGAAAAAGTAGGAGCGCATGTTTGGTTCAGAGACCAACACCACCATATTTTGAAGAGGTCAACGTTAAAGATCACCGACTTGTATTCGCATGCATGTCCATTGGTGTGGTTGATGTGCTCGAAACAAGTAAAGGACACCTTTGTATAAAGTTATAACTTAGAAAGCTCCAGGGTATTTTCCTACTGATTTTCACTTGACTAATGACTAGTGTTGGTTTTCAGTGAATGATGTCATCGGAAAAGTGTTTTGGCTAATCACCTTTGTTTTATAGCACTACGTGATAATTTTGCCCTACAATTTTTCATACTTACCAAAGACTGGTTATCCTTTACTTTCCTTTATCATAACTTTTGGAACACTTTAGCTTCTCTTTTACCAATAACCTAAAATCTATTGCAACCTTTTTAAATCATTGAATCGAAACATCACAACCCTTTACATTATGACCAAACTCATTCAAGAACAGACAGTTGTAAGGTAAAAGTGAATCAAGTTTTGATGTGTACATGCAGTGATATGTGAGTACTGGGGGGTTAACAAAAAAGGGGTACAATTCGATGAACTTGGTGAAAAATCTTAAGTCGATGGGAATCATCCTGAAAAGTAAGTTTTGAATAGTTGAACAGTTAGGTACCTAACATGTTGGAAATTTGAAATAATGATCCCAGTTTTTGAATGTTTGAAAGTTCAACTTTTTCAATTGTAAAGTTGTAAGTTCACAATATCTACTCAGAGAAAATTGTAAAAAGGGAAATGAATCATATTTATTTTGAATTTATAACACGTGAATTACCTGAACTAGTCACGTCTGCAAGTTGTTAATGATTATATACAGTACACTTGCACAAAAAATGGACTTAGAAAGTAGTTGTTAAAGCTCTGATCACAGTTTGATTTGCAGAAATTAATATATTGGAAATAGCTCATATATAGCCCTTTAAAATTAAAAAACAAGATTCAAGTTATCAACAATAACTTGAAAGTTGAAGATGCTGATTTTGGTAAAATCAGCATCTTCAACTTTGACTTGGTGGGTATATTCAGAGACTCTAACATAGCTGAATAAGTTTTCAAAACAAAATGTTATTTGCTGTCAGAGATCTTTTCTTCTATAAGAATAATGTTTAATAAATTGAAGATGGAAAGAAATTGATAAAAGGATAATCAAATCGGTAAAATGAAAATTAATGAAAATATGCAAAGTCCTGAAAATATAGAGATATCAAACTAGTATAAAAAGCCAACGATTGAAGAACTTGACATATCATGAAGAATAAGT